GTTTTAAAGATCTAAGCATACATAGGGACAGACAGCGGGAAGCGACTTTGTTTTATACTATGTAGCGATAGTGATTTTCAATTTGGGTTTTAAATTCAAAATTGTTTTTTACGTTCTATCTTTATGGATCTATGCTCTGGGTAAATAAATTACTATTGTATTCTAAATTAAATTTGCTGTTCTTTTATCAATCAAGTTCTTTTTCCACTATGTGGAAAGGAAACTGTTCTAGTATTTGATGGTGTTTACTGGATGTTATCGCATTCCATGCAACCGCACATTTCCTATCGCCAATACGGTACTGTATTATAGGATGCTGACTCAAGGTATTTACGCTGTAAGTTTTGAAGTCTGGAATAAAGAACATTTGTTCTATTTTACTAATAGGTATTAGTGGAAGATTATTTTAAGCTCAATTTTCAATATGCCGCGATTTAAATGTACCTCTAATCGTTATTGTTATTAACTTTCTGATCAAAGGATTCCAAATCCGTTGTTGAAGTTAGATTAAGTCAGGACAGGTTTCATCCATTTAATTGATTTTAGTAATTATAATAAGAAATTGAAATTATATTCTTTAGTTTGGTTACGTATTTTAAGAAGTGTCAAAATCAAACCAGAATAGGAGCACTGGTTTATTTTATTTATTAAGTCAATACGGACGTTTCGCTACTTATAATTAAAGTACGGCTTCATAAACGAACTATTCACTTTAATTAATTTTGACACATTAGTAGAATGTGTTTCTACACAATAAAAATGGAACACTTATAAAACTGACGGTAAACGTGAAGCAGCCGTGTCACTTGCAGAAAATGAAAATACTTCTGCGTTATTGTACGAACCGTTTTACAGACGAATAATGCGGATACCGATAGAGAACGTTAGAAATGAAGAGGTATTGGAAAGAATAGGAGAACAGAGGACTCTATGGGAACAATAAGAAATATGCGAGATAGGTTAGCAGGACACCTTCTCGGGCATGAAGGTCTAGTCAGAGACATATTAGACGCAGAAACGGAAGTTAGGAGGGGTAGAGGTAGACCTAGATTAGATTACTGTTCGCAAATAGTAAAGGATGTGGGTTGTTATAGTTTTGGGGAAATGCGAAGATTAGCTCAGGATAGGAAAGAGTGGAGGTGCCCGTCCAACCAGTCTTAGGACTGACGACCTTATGAAGATGATAAACGTAAACTCACATCTACTAACCTCATTTTTAGGTAATTTTGAAAATAAATCAAAAACAAAAGAGTTAAGTTATTTTTTTAATATTAACTTAGTCATTTCAAATACGGAATTCAGCACAATTATGACACTACAATGACAGCATTCGCCGCAAGATGCGAGACTGTTCATCCTGAATAACTGACGCTGAGATGATATGGAAATATTGTACATCAATGATGTGTATATACATACGACGACGTGATACAGATACATAACATAAACAATAATCAAATATAGTATGTATATAAGAGTTAAATATTAAAAGAAATTAATGGTCATTGACAGTTCAACAGAATATGCAAATATGTTCTAGTTTGTGACCTTTAATCAATAAAAGCATCGGCCTTCGCGAAATTATTATTAACTATTCAGTTGCTACATCAATAAAAACATATACCTACTCAGCCGCCGGATGATTTGATGTATTGACCATAATTTGTAATTATAGTGGTGCGGAGTGCTGAAATTTTCTAAATTGCTATATGTGTAATTCAGAAAAGACAATATGTGGTACTTATAAAAAGAAGTCATGCCGTTTGCTTAAAAAAATTGAAGCAATTCCTTCAAGGTATAGACATAAAAAAAAAAGCGAAGGAAAAGGTTTTGTTTTAAAGTAAAAGGTTTTACATAATTTGTATTTATAAAAAGAAGCATCTGCTCAAAAACTAAAGAATTTGCTTCTAAAAGAGGAGTCTAGGTTCACAACAACTTTTCTCGCTCTTTTCGACTTTTCAGTAGCTGCCCAGACATCACACAGCTTGTAACATAAAACTTTACGTATTTGTAGGACTTTTTTTGCGTTAAAATCTACCTCAAAGGACTTGTATAAGTACTCCTTAGTTGTGTTGTCCCAGTGTTGTGTTTGTTATAACTAAAACGGTGCATTTACGTAAAAGAAAATACTACAAACCAAGACGTACACCACGAGAATCAGATTTTAAAACGTTATTTAAATTTGAGATGGAGAATGTCGTGTGGCTGACGGACCACTTTCTTGGCGCTTATCCCGAAACACGTGGAGCAACCGTGCCGCCTGTGCAGAGAGTGAAAATATTTCTGCGTTGTTGAACAAACCATTTTAAATTTGCTAATATTCAACACCGCACACGTAATACGATTTGAAATAAATCTTCGTAGCATATTTTAATGGATTGATTTGATCTATAAATTCTGCTTCTTATAATTTTTATTTACGACTTAACTAATCTCATATTGAATAGACCTTCTTGTTCGTTGTTTTGAAAATTCAAATACGATTTCCCACTTGAGACCCCCCCCCCCAAACAAAATAATATAATGTATATTCACCCTTGAAATTTTTAATAATAGTTAAAACTTCCAATTAACGAAGGTTTAATGAAATTGGGAATGTGGAAATAAAAATATTTTTCAAATTAATACAAAAGAACAAATATAACATAGGTAAATAGAATAAAACCTTATACTATTCGTACGTAATCAACATATTTTTTTTTATCCGTTTAAATAATGTTTGAAGCACCACTGTAGCAGTGATGGTTCACGCATCTGTGACAGATTTGGTGTTAGTAGACTTTGGACAAAAGCGTCGAAAGTGCTTCTTTATGTTCCTCGATTGTCTGCTAAGTGATTTTAGGAGTACAGCATTCTTAAATCAATAAAGAATAGAAGCAATTCCAGAAGTTAATCTGATAAAATACGCAGTCACGCAGGCGACTGGTTATTTAACGAAATCGTTGGGTATCATGTAGTTTATCTATAATAATAATTCAGCGTAATTTAATTGTAAGATCATGTATTAAGGAATAGACATAATATAATAATTTTATCAAAATTAAATTAATTTTAATTCCTTTTTTACGAATTTCCGATACTTCGTAATAATTATTTAACGTAAAAACACCGACTTTATAAAAATTAAGACTGTGTGTGTGTATGCAATAATAATAATTATTGGCAAAAACAATCTGTCTTTTATGTTTCAATGGATACGAAAAGGGCAGAATCGACAGACCTATGTGTTGTGTAACTGAATCTATTTACAAAATACGTTGTTGGCGATGTATACCTAGAAACAAGAACAACTTGTAAATAGTAGCAAATGTCTTAACTTTTGTTTAAAATGAACATGAAAATAATTTGACTCCATTTCCTCTAACCTAAATTATACCTACTATGTCACTTGTGTTTTCGTTTTGACGTTTCGTGTGCTATCCTGAGATTTCGACATTTTTCAACTCTATCCTTAATATTTAATTAAAACACCAAATAGAAGACTCGCCTCTAATTACCACAAAAACTTAAAAGCGGACACGTGTTTCACCCACTTCATTACGTGGGCATTATCAACGCGAGACTAATTAATTATTATTTACCACAGTCTCTTTTTTCTACTTTATCCCTAATATTCACTGCTATTAATGAACAAAACTGTTTTTTTCAGAACAAATTATTCGTTTGCTTGCCTTCCATTTATCTATAGTTGTACACCATTAGTTACCTATGGAATTTAGATTTTGTACAAATGAAAGTAAAACTTTGTTGTCAATTGATTCTTACAGTTTGGAATTATGATCGCACGCAATCTTAGATTTTATGGTATATGTATATTGCTGACATCAAGTTTTCAGTTTTTCAGTTGCAAATTATTTCCACAACTAGTTTACATATATTTTGTATGTATATTACTCATACTGTTAATTACGTTAATTGCGTTAATGCATTTCTCTGCGTGATTTACCAGGATTTGACTAACCCTTGTCTACACTTTCAAACACGTTTTCCTCAAAAATGGTAAACATTCCGGCCTACAAACATTTCTTAATTTGATTGATTCATAGAGCCCTATCACACCCTGTTAGATTATTGGTACTACTAATATAAGATTTACTATTAAATACACAGTAATATTTCCATCCTCTTTACACGTTTTATTATTTTACTATAATTTACTGTAAACTGATATCGAATCATTGTTGGATTACTTGAAATACAGGGTGTCCCATTTATAATAATAAAAAAAACATGATTTCCTGATACAAAATACAACAAAAAAGTGTTATACAATTTCTCAATCCAGTGACAATTGAGCTGGCAAATCTTCTTTGTAAATTTGAATGTACAATTTGTTTCATTACGGGCCTGGATCTAGGCTACTAACGTCGCTCAGCTGATCTAGTGTGGATGTAACAAGTACTTACCGGAAAGTAGCCGAATGCACTTTCAACTTGTAAAAAAAAGGTAAGTGAAATAGAATAGCGTACCTTTTATGAAAAATGTTGAAATTGTCCGCCATTCGCTTCAATGTAACACTGGCAGCGGCGTACCCAGTTGCTGCGAATTTTGGCCCAGATACCGGGAATATTTCGAATTATACGATAGGCATTGGTAATGTAACACCACCAACTGATGGTTGAATAAGAACTCTACTAGAATGCACTATCACACTACTAATTGTCCTTATTGTAATAGTCTTTTATGAAATAACCACTAAATAAATAAAAGCTGTCGTAATTAATTTGCGATTGTGCAGGGCCAGCATTAAAACTGTTATAATTTTATAATATTTTATTTTGTTTCAAAAGTCAATAGTGCTATAACATTTTATGTTCCAAATGTCCGTAGGAATCTGTGGTATAAATATTAATTATTATAACTGGGACACCCTATATTAAAAAAAACAAACATTCATCTTAGTATTATCTAGCATGATGAATATAAAACGGGATGATGATTATTACACTTGTAAATATGAGACTAATTTTACTAATTTAAAACTAAAGTAGCAAGTTTACCTTTTTTAAGTAGATGGCCATCATCATAAATAACTTCGTTTCTGAAACAAAAAAAGATAATGTCAATAAACTGCATTAAAAATTAAGTTGTGTTGTCACTGATTATAACTCGCTCTTTTAAATTTTAACTAAAGGACTACTGGAACTTATCAATAGAAAGTAAAATTTACTTGTTTTACAATAAAACTAATAAGTTGATGTCTGGATTTTTTACACATCACGATGCTAAAAGCTCATCAACATCATCATAAAGTCATCAGTCCTAAGACTGGTTGGACACGCACCTCCACTCTTTCCTATCCTGAGGTAATCTTCGCATTTCCCTAAAGCTAGAACAACCCATATCCTTAACTATTTGCGAACAGTAATCTAATCTAGGTCTACTTCTATCATTCCTAACTTTCATTTCTGCCTCTAATATGTCTCTGACTAGACCTTCATCCCTGAGAAGGTGTCTTACCAACCTATCTCGCCTATTTTTTATTGACTTCCATACAGTCCTCTGTTTCTAATACCTATTCATTTCTATCTTTCTCTATCCACGGTATCCTCATCATTCTAACCTTTTTTTTTTTCAAAGCGCCCACTGTCCATGTTCCACACCCATACAGAGCTGTGCTCCAAACATCTACCTTTAACAACCTTTTTAGAATTTCTAAATGAATCGTTCGCGAGTATAGAAGTGACTTCTTTTTATTGAAGGCGACTCGACTCGACCCTGCGCTATCCTCTGCTTTATATCCCTATTACTCCTTCCGTTATGACTTATCTGACTTCCTAGATATCTAAAATCAGCCACTTCTTCTAATTTTTCGTCTCCTATCTTTATATTCGCTCTTTCCCTACTTTTTCTTCCCTTGCGAACCAATATTTTAGTTTTACTTTTATTTATTTTCATACAGTACTGATATGTCAGTACCGCTTTCATTTTATTTAAAGCTATCTCTACGTCCTCCTTGCTAGATGCTAATACTGCTATATCATCTGCAAATCTAAGCATACTAATCTTTTGCCCCTGTATATCTATCCCTACAGTTGTACTGTCTTTAATAATGTTGATCGCGTCTTCGATGTATAGATATAGCGGTGACAATGTGCATCCCTGTCTGACTACCTTTTTAATATTTACTTCTCGATTAAAAGGTCACTATCGTGTTATTAGTAGAAAACCGAGATTGTGGTAGTGAAATAAGTAAAGTAAAAAGGAGACTCGTCCTAGTCACAACTTAGCTTTTTCTTTGCGGAGACGTGTTTTGCTCACTTCTCTCGACTCCAATCCTGCGTTGACAATGCTCTCATTAGAAACGGGCGAAACACTGTCCCCAATATGGTGTTGGAGTAAGTTCCCTTTTTAATTTAGCTATCACAATCATTATTTCATTACATATTTATACAATATATAAATACATACAGTTTTCTAATACGTAATTCAAAAATACTACTTCAACTCTCCACTCCAATGTTTTATATGGAAATTATACCTTGTAAATGCACTTATTTTGTAACTGCTATCATTTATTTACTTTCTTATCAGTTTAGTAACCATGTTGTATTCACAAAATTGCAACATTCATGCGTTTCTGAAAGAAGCGCCGAGTTGAACAGAGGCAAAGTAACGATAGGTGAATAAGGATGCAGTACGATGAGAACCTATAACCTCCTGAATCAGTTAACATTGTTTTAATAATTAAATGGTTATAGTATAATCATTAGTTTTTAATTAGAAGTGTTGAATGTGTAATTCACACCATAACTTTACCAAAAGGCTGATGATAAAATTGAAACAATTTGTTGTTTGAATTGCCGTTAAAGATATACTTTGCATTTTATGCATGTTAGACATAATATGTGGTTAACAAAGTGGTATTTAAAATTTAACGAGGAATTCTAAACTGCAACAATAATTGGAGCATTCCTTTTGAATAAATGAAATTAGGTTGCCTCCTGGAAAAATGGGACACCCTTTATAATCGAAAATAATTTTAGGATATGCAGAAACTTATATCATACCACTTTTGTAAGAAACTTTTTTTGGGTCTTCTTTGGTCTCGGGAATTATTATTGCTAAGTTTGGTAGGGATAGGTCTTGCTCGCACCAGAGGGTTCTAGATGGTCTTGCTTACCTCCCGTCCACCGTATGCTGATTGAACGTACATCAAAACAAACCGGGGCAACCCACCCCCTACATACATCGATGTTACGTTTTCTCAAAATCATTATTATCATTATAACCTCTCTGTATTTTCGAGTAACCAATAATTATGCAACTTATACCCAATGCTATATATAACTTTTCACTGTGCTCATAAATTATTCTAGAACATGGAGCTCTTAAGACAATCTTTTTGTAGAAGTAAATTCCAGTCACGCGTCGGAGTTGTCACGCACAATTTTTGATGACTAATTTATTCATTCATGTCACTCATAAGTAGGTACGTGAAATTCTAAAATTGTTTTTGATCTAATAAAAGCTTAGACCTATGTAAATAACTTAAGACATACAGGAAGGAGAGAGGGGAGACATAAAGTGAAATTGCCTGATGAGTATAAATTTTTGGCACTATTGTCAGGTAAGCCAAACCCATCCGAATACGCACAAATTGTTCTGATTGTAACAATATTATGTTTGTGATTGTGTCAGGAATTGAGGCTAACCGTTAAATGTACTGACATCATTTGAAACCAAATTGGTCGAATTTCGGCCAAATGCAACAACTTTATAATACAAATATACATGAGAACATAGATATTTGTACGTTGCCAGTAATAACCTTTAATAACTTTACCATTAGGACTATACAATAATACAATAAAATGACTAATCATAAATAATAATTTTAAGTAACAATACATGTTATGTGCTCTTACAGATGTTTGCATTCACCTTCATAAGGCTTTCTGCCCCGAAGAGTGGTTGGACACACACCTCCATTTCTACATATCTTGTTTTTCTTACCCCATATCTAAAGTCCTACGTCTACAAACTTTCATAAATATGTAAACACACATGTGTGAATAATCAGACAATTATGAGCTTTAAAGGAAGGTCACCTTTAATAAAGAATCATTTATAATCTGTGGGAAATTTAAAAAAAGAATGTAACTATATTACTGACAACAAAGCAGAGATTTTAGTCGATAAAGAGTGACAATGGTATTGCTAATGAATAGGTGTGTTCCACATATTACTCACTGTTATATCATCAGATTTAATGCGCGGAGTGTTAAGGACACGAATGACAGACACTCAAATGGGATGGGAGTGTCATCTAACATCTATATTATTTCGCGAGGGACACCCAGTCACGAGTTTATTTGTCACAATGACAAAAGCCTACGTTATAAATAAATTTGAAAAGATCATCTCGATTATAGTTAATTTGTTATCTGAGTGTAGGTACACAATAGCATACAGGGCGAATAATACAAAAAAATCATGTTCAAATTAAGAAAGAAAAACAGGAATATAACCTAATAATTGGTACCCACGCTCTAATCTTTTGGGATTTTACATGTGAGCGTGTTTCAGATGAATACATGGGATACAGAGGAACATATGGACATTGAAACTACGTATTGATTTTTATTGCTTAATATTTCCTGTATTACTGTAGTTGATATTATGATACTGTGGCGAATAAGAGGCACACGAATCACTGAAGTGGCGGCCACTTTGGCGACCACAGACGCTAGCATGAAACGACACATTGTTGTTGATGCCAACTTTCACACGGCGGCAGCCACTAATTTAACCAATAAATTGCTACTTAGACATTTGTATTTTATTTGCACTTGCACTTGCACTTCGTTTTCATCATCATTTTTTATTTGTACTTTGTGTGTATCTCGAACTTGATTGGAAAATTAGATTCTCCCAAACTTTTGAGAATTAAAACAGCATTTGTTCACACGAGCTACTGAAGTAGTGTAGCAGCAGTAGGTTGGTCAACGTGACAAAATATATACCATAAATACAGAAGATATAGCAAAATCATCCGGCAATCTAGGATTACAGTAGCGACAAATACGTCAATAAAATAATTAAATAAAATAAGTGGGAAGCAATAATTGCAAAGTACGTTTCGAAATATGAAGAGAAAACTAAACGATCGGTGAGAATTATGATTTATTATAATTGTTGTTTCATTAGGCAATTTACAACAAGCAAAGTAGTGAGTTTATATTCCCTTTTCGGGTAATGTCTGCACTTCTTAAATGAATATTACTGTGAATTATTATCTTGACGCAGTGACAGCCACCTGTGGTCGTTAAAATGCCCGCACGATAAATACACGATCGCGATCGGTTCGTCACAGTGGCGCAACTACCACCCGTGTGAAAAGGTTCTATCACCACATACATCCAACTTTTTAGCACCGATAATATTTAAATCAATAACAAATGCAAATATTTCGGGTTCGACAAATTGTAAATATTTGGTACTCTACCACAGAGCCAGGCAAATTTTAACTTCGCAGGAGCCGCTACATGAGGTTAGTTTGAGTCACTCCATACCCTTCAATGAGTACGAGAGAGTAAGCAGTAATGAATAATTTTGTTTTGTCTTTTTCTTCTCCCTTCCACTCCCATATCAAGTCCCTTCATCCCGTAGACGAGCGAAGCCACTCTCGCAACTTAAATAATACCTACGAAAATTTTCGTTACTACGTTCGCAAAACTATTGGGTTTGGCTATGGAAGAGGGGACTCACCTACGAAATGGAAGGGATAAGAAAAGGAAATAATCATCTCACTCGCACTCGCAGGATCAATGACGAGCTACTTGGTTAACCTTGAGGATCACTCGGGATGCAAAAGATCCGAGTTTGCCCGGCTCTGCTCTACCATCATCCACCAACTATTAGCTCATCCTTCACTTTTTTTCTGAAGACTTCTTTTTCATAATTTAGCCAGTTCGATCAGAATATTTTTCTCTTCAAGTAGTATTTCTTCCGTCCTCCAAGTTGTTTAAATAAATTGTTATTGTTGTTATCGTTGTTTCGTTGTCTAGTTTTATTTTCTCACTCGGAATA